TCGGTCCACAGATATGCCATAGTCTCTGGTCTCAGCAACATTTGCAGCAGAACCGAAGTATGGAAAGAGAAATTTGAAAGTGAAACAGAGTCTGGGGGGTCAATCTGCTCTGCTTTTTCACGCCGCATCAGGAAATACACGGAAGCCTATTCAGGGTACTTTCCCTCACACATGTTTCTTTCTCCTTTGTTAAATTCCCTTACGTCTTCTGGATTTTGCTTAAAGCAACATAGACAAGTAAAATTAATCAAGCAATATATACCCACTTAATTATGCGTTAATTAATCAATAAAAACTCCGAAAAACTGTAATAATTCTTTTCTCATGTAACCTTTAAAGATGAGTTCGAATTCCCATTCCAAAAGAAAAAAATGAAGAAACGAAAAAACTTCATTGAATCTCGATAAATTTACATTTCCCGAACGGAAAAAAAGAGAGCAGAGAATAAAATAGGCAGTCTCATATACAGAGCAAAAAAGGACTGCACTGCAAAGACGATCATTCCCAGAATCACCACCGAAACATGGACAGAATCATGGTCACATTATGATTTAGCATTTATAGAGGTTTTGTGTATCACCAGAAGGGATTAATGGTCCTGATCTGCAGCATCGTGGGTTGTGCTGCTACGAGCCTGCAGCTGATCCTGCTTCTCTGTCTCTAATTTCTCATCCTTTTCACCACAGCAGCTCGTGTTACCCTTTTCACCGAAAGAAGAAGACCTGGAAGAAGAGACAGGGGTGGCCAAGAAAGTCGGCTTCTCCTGTCCGGCCATTATAACCAGGAACTTCTCTTCCATAACTGTCGGCTGCCCTCCTTTCTGTGCTTCCTCGCCTTTGCCCTCTCCAGCCTCCAAGTCCCTCTCTCCTTGCCCTCCCTCACCCCTTTCGAGATACCCGGAAAGTTTCCAGTAGGAGCAGGCCAGGATGAGAAGAGCAAAAGCAATTAGGCCAAGCATGGCGGCCAATCCGCCAAACAAGTACGGGACCGGCGAGTGGCCCCACTGCGAGCGCGGTTGCGTGAATTCCGCCGGAGGCTTTACGGTGACGTTGTGGGGTGCTCTTGCTTCCATGTTGAAAGTATTGACAGGAAAATGCAAGAGAAATTGAGTTTGGAGTGGAGAGGCGACATGTGTTTCTAGGTGTATTTATAGAAGAATTAGTACAATGGGGTTGCATTTTTTCCCGGTGACTTGTGTCGTCTTTCGTAATTAGGTGGGGGCCATGTAGCGGGGCCCCTACTTGCCCATGTCCATAAGAAGATTACTGTGGAACGCGCCTACTTTATAATAGATTTTTTTCTCATAATTTTAAGAATCCATTTCCTTTTCTTTTTCATATAAAATAGGAACCCCTTTTCTTTAACGCTCAGTGGATGATTACAGCTTTAGAATTCGGATTTCACCGTTTGAACTAAATTAAATTGTATTTGTTTTAATTTAAAGGAATAAACTCAATTTGACAAATAAATTGACATAATAGTGAGATGTATGCTGTACTAGCTTGCCTTAAAAAGTTCAAAAAGAGAGGCTCATGGGGTTGAAATAGTTTGCTCAGAGATATTGATATTATACTTTTGGTTACCTTGAATGGTTTATGAATTGATGGGGTAAGCATAAAATTGAAGGATACTGCTCAACTTGTAAGGTACAATAATAATTTCGATTGGATATATGAGGCGAATTGGGAACAATAAGATCTAAGAAGAATATAAAGTGACAGGAAAAAAGGCTCTATGATGTGATAAAAGTTGGAGTTGGATCGCATGATTACATGGTTTGATTAAAGTTCTAATTGCCCCCCACAAATGCAAAACTAGATAAGCTGCCAACTAATAATTAAATTTATATTATGACTTAACTTTAATTTTATTTACATTTGTCACCTGAAGTTACATTAGTCTAATCCATTTACTAGTTCAAGATAAATTGACCTCCTTAATTTCTATTTCTGCCAAATCAAATTGACTTTATATCTTTATTAAAATTAATAATTATTGAATAATTCCCCTTCATTTTCAACTATGCAAACCCACACAGACATCATATTTACTAGTTCAAGAGAAATTGACCTCCTTAATTTCTATTTCTGCCAAATCAAATTGACTTATATATTTATTAAAATTAATAATTATTGAATAATTCCCCTTCAATTTTCAACTAAGCAAACCCACACATATATCATATTACTTGAATTTATAATTTTTTATTATTTAAGAAGAAGGCAATTCTCCTTTTTATCATGAATTTATTTGCAAGTCATTATAAGTATATTAGCACTTCTATAATTAAATTGTCACGTACAATTTTATATGGTTTTAAACGTGTAAATATATATAATATTACAGATATATTTTTTTAAAAAATTTAAAAAATAAAAATTTATTATGTTATAAATTTATAATATCATGTGAGATTATAACTATAATATTATATATATATGCATGATTTCTTTTCAATTCGATACTCTTGTTTCCTTAATATAAACAGTTGTCGATACTCTTGTTTCCTTAATATAAACAGTTGTTGATTAATTAGTGAATTAAGTATTGTGTCC